GAATTTCTGCTGTAAAAATGAAAGCTAGTATTTAGTGTATCAACTACCAAGTCTTCTAAACCAAACACTAGAACACATCATAAATCTGATGGAAGTTTTTTCTATGAAACAGCGTTTATTACCTAAAAAATAATGGCTTAGTATGTGCATGTTTTGTTTCCATTAAGATTTTTTCACCCGTCTTAAAAATAAAATCCAGCTTAAACAACCATAAAAAAGGGAAGTGCATATCATTTACATTATGCATACCAAAGAAGCTAGAGATCTGCAGTTCACATTCTGCTTCATGCCAGCTTTAAAAACTTAGATAAATTCAGTTCATTATGAGTTCACTTTGCTCTTAGTTAACTCATCTGTTGGTATGCAGGACAGTTTGCCTTGGAACCTTTTGAAAGCCTGAATGTTTCTGTTCAAAGCTATTGTTGTGTGCGTGTTTCCCTGGACCAAGCTGTGGTTTATTTTAGGACAATCTGCTTTATTTTTTATAAGAGATATTTAAATGGAACTTTAGAATATACAAATCATATAACCAATCTAAAATACTCAACAAGACCAGGTCACTTCACAGCTTCTCCCTATCCCAAAAACCCATTTTCACATCTCATTTCTGTCAATATGTAAGTCTCAACCACTGACTCATGCTTTTTACACTTTTCCAATGCTTCAGTGTTTTTGCATAGTCAATACTTCAAGTAGAACTCTGTTACAGAGCACTGAAACTGCACTCCTTTGCCACCACAAGGTGATAACCTCCTCCAACATATTCCAGTGTTTTCTTCACTGTAATTCCAGAGGTTTCTCCTATTGCTGCCCTGCCTGCCAAATGTGGGACACATCTCCAGAGACAGAAATAAGCAGTTTTGTTCAACAGCAAGCTATAATGGCTCAGAGACCGTGAAAGAATTTGCTCTCTAAACTGCATAGCACAGAAGTCTCTCCAGTTCATTGTACGACAGATAAGGAAGCTAGACTGGGTGGAAATACCAGCTTGTGATGGTGTTAACTTCCCTGAGGTGCTATACTGCGCCAAATTACAGTCTCATCAGAGTACAACAGCTCCCCGAGGCACTCTGTCTCCCCTTTTTCGTTCCTAGTTTGGGCCTTGCCTGATCTCTTCTAACAGCACTATCCCTTAGTCTCCCCAGGTCCTGCACAGGAAGGAGGCTTCGTGGGAACTGCAAAAGCTTATTTTTTGGGGTGCTCTCCTGCCTTTGCCCAGGTCCTGAACAAAAGGATGCTGCCCTGTGCACCAAAGATGATGGTCAAGGAGAGGCAAGCAGTGGTCTGGCTAGGTCAGACTCCTGAGGTAATAGCCTGGAAAATTTAACAAAATTCTCTTTTTTTCAGTTGTTTTTTCCTATTTGTAATATTCAAATGTGTAAGGCAGACTGTTGAATGCATGCATTCATAGCATGAAGTTTGTTCTCTAATTATAAAAACGGGCTAGATAAGAGATAAACTCTAACATTTTTGCGAAACCTGGCAGAGACATTTGGGAGCACGACACACGGGGGTCCGGTATCTGGTTTGGCCTCTGTTAGGAGCAGCCAATATTCCTCATTAACACCCCACTTTAATTTCTTCCAAGTATCTTTTCTGAATGGGGGACTCTTATATCTCTTTTCAGCAAGGAGAAGTCTGGAAGTCAGCATGACAAAATTGTACGAGAAGTATGCCAGTATTCTCTGCTTGGTGCTCACTGCCAGACAAGAATTTCAGAGAGGACCTAAGCTTTTCAGCAACCTTAGTGGGTAGCATCAGGAGCTTGATTGATCCCGGCTGCATTGGCACAGCTTATTTATCTACACGTATGACAGCTCTGGAACTTTATTTTTCTGTTGTTGCTGTGGTTTTTGTTTGTTTTTCTTTTTTTCTCTCCTATGAATTCAGTACTGTCACTAGGTGGCATCCTAGTTCTGCCACAGTGCTCCTGTGCTGGAAGGAGAGAGTGGGCAAGTCAGAGCTACAGAGAGTACAAAAACCTAGATTCAGCTGACAGACTTGAGCTGAATTTCTGTTTGCTGCAGCGAGGTTTAAGAATATAAGCACCATTTTAGAACTGCTCACCAGGATGGTGAGGAATTTCCAGTGGGATATCATGGACAGGACTGAGTAGTTGTACATAGGCTGGCCTGCCTGAATTACCCCTGGTACAGGAGAACAAAAACTTAATAACACTACTTCAGAGTGTTATTGAGGAACTAAATGCATTAGCACCTCTGATTGTTAACAGAGAAAAAATTAGTGTTTTTACCTTGCAGTGCAGCCATGTGAGTTGAGTGAGATGTGATTGCTTATGAAATCATGAGTAGAAGTGAACGTCTAATACTAACTCTGAAATAGAGAATCTGGTTCATAGGAAAAAAAATAGTGCTGAAGTCAATTCTATTTGGGAAGAGAAGCAAGTTAATAAGTTTTCTTAACAGTAGAAGCATTGATAAGACTGATCTCATGGATATGGTAAATAATTGATTTCTTACAGACCTCTCTGTAGTTTTATTATATCAGTTTCTGGCTGTACTTCCCTTTTCCCACTGCATTTTTCTTGCATTTCAAGAATGGAGAAGGCCAATACCAGAAAGTGAACTCCTAATACTTTGAAGAATAATCTTTTCCCAGTTGATAGAAGTTTTCAGCAGTCTATGCCAGTACTGTACTTCATGTCAACTCTACAAGTTCAGTGTTGTGCATTGTATTAGTGCAGTGTCCCTTAACTTTGGAGGCAATAAGCTCCATTTGTTAAGCTTTCCTCCACTCAGATCTTAAGGTTCTGGTCTTTCTGAAGATTTTGCTCAAGACAGGACTAGAAGTTTCTTCTTCACCCTTTACCCCCAAGATTTCTGACCAAACTCTTCAGAGGCACTACTCTCGGGATGAAGACAGAGATATAAATGCTTGTATATCATTAGTATAGTATGATGTAGTTAGTCTGTGCAGCACTTCTTCCCCTCCAAAAAAACCCCCAGCTGCTCAGAGCTGATAAAGCCACAAACATTGGCTAGAAGAAACACAAGTGGCAGGATATTGCCATTTAAAGTTAAAGCGGTGCACATGTAGCTACTGCCACCTTTCTCCCCAAGAACTAATTTCAGGGAGGAATTCCAGGAAAAAGTTCTGATGGCTGCCTGGGCATTACAGCACGCTGACATCATGTAAACAATTTGCAATACTTCATTGGTCAGACAGACATATTTGGAAGGGTGTGGATAGATGCAGGATACATAGACAAGACCAGCACCCTGTGTGGAGGAGACACTGGTTTTAGTGCAAGGCTTGCTCACAAGAATGGCTACCAGACTCCTGTGACTTTATAACATTAGGTAGCTCTGGGCTGCTGAGAAGGGGTCAATACACAGTGGTTCAAAGCTGCTATTGCCAGGTCTGAATAAAGTCAAGCCCACTATAGCAGGAACATCAGGAAAGAAGCTTTGGCATAAGCCACAGTATAACAAAGACCTGTAATCATTATCCAGCAGCTGGTCATCTCTGTAGGCTTGCTGCTCCTCTGGTGGCCTCTTCAGTATTCCCTCCACCGTCTTTTTCAGCTCATGCACAGTTGTTGTCTCTTTGGCCTTGGTGAAGATGGTTGTCTTGTGACAGCAAATAGTCAAGTAGACCTCCATCACTACCCTAGAGCTTCTGGCAGCCCTCTGTCACTGCAAAACAGACTTCAGTCCTCT